CCCCCCAGCCAATCAGCATCCTGGAATCCCCGTGGTCATCCCCCAGCCAATCAGCATCCTAGAATCTCCGTGGTCATACCCCCAGCCAATCAGCATCCTGGAATCCCCGTGGTCATCCCCCAGCCAATCAGCATCCTGGAATCCCCGTGGTCATACCCCCAGCCAATCAGCATCCTGGAATCCCCGTGGTCATACCCCAGCCAATCAGCATCCTGGAATCCCCGTGGTCATACCCCAGCCAATCAGCATCCAGTATCCTCATGTTCCGGGCCCAGGCGGCCAGTATCGGGAATAATAAGCCTGGAATTCCAGTCCGGGTTTTCTCCATACAAGCTCCGGGGACGCGCGGCACACACGGGGTTACTCGGTGTCATGCGTTTGGTATGTAACCTTCCGTGTGCAGAAGACGCGCGGAGGGCGGAGTGTGTGCCGGTGACGTTTATGGCACGCACAGCAACCGCCGGGGTATTGTCTGCCCCTCCCCCCACGGTGACAAAGCCACCCCCGGACTACAAACAAGGCTGTGTCATTGTACCCCCGAGAGCGGGGCGAGGGACGACACAGAATTGGCGCATTGTGCGGGAAGAGGACCTCTGAAGGACGCGGACAATGGGCGCCATTTACAACTTCGGCTTTGAAGTGCCGGAGAACGGGTCTGCCGACTTCCTGAGGGGGGTCATTCACACCAGCACACGCATGTCAAGATGTGCAACGTGTAGCGTGTGCTGGGACTGCCCCAACGTGACTGGCGTCAATGAGCCCTTCACAGCAGCCTGCGTGTGCTATGCTCCGTACGACACGCGTGTTGGCGTACAGCCGTGTAGTGTGTTCTTACAACTAGGGATGCGCCGGTACCGATACCGAGTATTTGGGCCAGTACTCGCCCCAATGCCGACCACCAGTACTTCCGGTATCAGGAAGCCGGGCAGCGCCATCATTACACGCTGCCCGGTGTTCTGATTGGCCGGGAAGCCGCCTCCATGCTCTCTCGTCACGTGTGATGGGACAGCATGGGGCCGGCCTCCCGGCCAATCAGGAAGCAGGGCGGCTTCTATGATTGGCCGGCTCTGGCAGGGTACAGGAGGAAGGCCGCGTTCTGGCTGGAGTGGCCCCCGGGGGGGGG